CTGAATGTACTGCTAGTCGCTCGACCTCCACTCGCTGCACAATCCCACTGCGCGACGATTGCCGCCAGTGGTGTATGTCTGTGTATCTATATGTATGTATGTATGTATGTATCTACATGTGTGTCCGTGTGTATTACCCACCGGTATCGGAGAGGGGAAGTACTTTCCGTTGAAGCGGTTGGACCGTTGGGGCCGGGAAACTGGTAGCTGGCCCTGGCCGGCGCCGGGCCCTACGTATGTATGGATGTATGTATGGATGTATTACACGCAAACACACGTTTCCTCTCCCCCCCCCCTACAGAGAGGTGGCCCGGCGCCACGGCATACCCTGCCAAGAGTTCTCCGTACGCAACGACATGCCGTGTGGGTCCACCATAGGGCCCATTCTGTCATCCAACCTAGGCTGCCGTACAGTGGACTGCGGGATAGCGCAGCTGTCAATGCACAGCATCCGGGAGCAGGTGTGTGTGTATGCCGTACCTCTGTATAAAAAATAAATATCTATGTATTTGTGTATGTATATATATGTATATATGTATATATGTATATATGTATATATGTATATATGTATATATGTATATATGTATATATGTATATATGTGTGTGTGAATGGACGTCTTCCCCCCGTGTGCGCGTTTGTTTGCGAAGTGCCTGAGAGGTGGTCATCGAGGTGGTGTGCACCCCACCCCCAGGGGGTGGGGTGGGGTGGCGGCCGGACCAGTAATGATATAATGAATGCGCTGGCTGTGCTGCTCAGCTCGTGCGTGTGGAACAATGGGCCACCAGTTGGGGGGTTAGGGGGACGGACACCGCGCACCGTGCAGCACCACAAGATATGATGGCCGGCACACGCTGCGATGGCCGCCCCCGGGGTGATCAGCACTCGCGCAACGTTGTGGTCCACGGCGGGGGGGGGGAAAACACATATCTTCCTTTAAAACTTAACGTCTATTTCTTTTGTACTGTGTTGTCGTGGTACTGCAGTGCGGTACGGATGACGTTGCGCTGGCGTACGACCACCTGTTGGCCTTCTTCCGCGAGGTACGACAAATAGAGGGCACCAGGATGTGGGGAGACTGCGGTGCGGTGGTCTCATGGGTGGTGTTTCGCTCTGCCGTACACTCACTTGCCGTACACGTCCTGCTTTAGCCTTTGGGCCCTATAGACACCACGCAAAACCTTGTTGTTGGTGTCCTTCACGTCCTGCATGTGGCATCGGCGCCCTGCCGTGCACATACACGTGCATGCATGCGGGTGCATATCCCCTTTGACCTCTCACGTTTTCGTCAAATGCAGCTGTATGTGTTGTACATCGCCGTACACTGTCGTACCCTGCAGTTTTCTTCCCTGGACGCCAATCTGGATGTGGACTCCCTTCCTCCCCCCGATATCTCGGGCACCATTCGGGACACCCCCTGCTGCCACACGCACTGACGGACTGACGGACTGACAGACTGACTGACAGACTGACTGACGGACTGACGGACTGAGGCCAACCATCCAACCAACCGACTGACTTACCGACTGCCACCGTCCCTCCAGTCCCGCGGTGGGCGGGTGGCCCCCTCGTACGTACAGACGTACAGAGGTACAGACGTACAGACAGACGGAGAGTTGGCTCTTGCGCAGCTCCCACCGTGTTTGTACGTGCGCAGCCAGCACACACACACACACAGCTGGCTCCCTCCTCCCCTCGGTACCCTACGGCTCCTGCGGCTCGACTTGTGTGATACACATATGCACTTAATCATTTATACATATACATATATATAATGACATATAAACATACATGTAAACTGGGACTGAAGGGCGGAGGCGGCGGGGGAGAGGGAGGCGAGGGAGTTGTGGGCTCCCTGGGGGGGGGTGCGGCAGGGCACGGGGGGGGGTGCCGCCACACCGTCGGGCAGGGGGGAAGGAGGGTCAGGTCCGCATGGCGCTTCAGAAGGTGGGGACCCCGGGCGGCGGGGTGAGAAGGGGGGTGGGGCGCAGGGTTTTTGGGGTGGGGTGGAGGTACGGCAGCATCTGTGAGGGCGGTTATGGGGCGAGGGTGCGTTCGGGGAAAGGAAAGGAGGGAGGGAGCGACAGGAAGGGGAATAGAGAGAGAGAGAGAATATGCGAGAGGTGGCGTGCGAGGAGGCGTGCGAATTGGTGATTGATCGGAGTGAGGCGGGAGAGATGAGAATGCTGTCGCCTCTGTATGTGTTACGTCTGTCTGTTCGGGTGTTGGGGGGGTCGAGCTGGTTTCGAGGTGGCATACGTGGACTGGCTGGCTGGCTGGTGTCGTCGTCATCGTCATGTGGTGGCAGTCGTCTCTCACAGTATCACCCCCGTGGATGTCACCCGCGAGGGTATCTTCCCCCGCCCTCCTCCCTCCTCCCTCCTCCTCCTCCTCCTCCTCATCATCATCATCATCAGCAGCAGCAGCAGCATAATTATCATAATCACAATCACAATCACAATCACCATCATAATTGTGCGTGTAAAGCAACGGTGTCGATGCACGGTGGCGGCTCCTGTGTCGCTACCTCGGGCGCCCCCCCCAGCCAGCCAGCCAGCCACCTCACCCCCCCCACACGCTCGCCGCGACTGTCGTCCTGTTGGAGCGTTAGGCGGTGAGGACTACCTACTCTTATTGTGTTATGCACAGTTCGTAAAACATGTTGGTGCTGCTATATATGGCTCGGGATGCAGACCCGTGGGTCGCTCGAAACATTGTTTTCGAATGTACGGCAGACGGACCGCGGAAGGGCCCACTTGAGCCCCCAGTGAGTGAAGTGCCCAACCTCCTCGATGAATTGTCAGTAATAGAGCTGTTACGCTGTTACCAGCGTTCATGTCGTCTGTAAATTTTGTCCCTGCCGCGTGGCGGAGGCCTGAACAGTTGTTATGGTAGTTGTAGCAAAGGCAGCTACAAAACAGCTCTTCGAGAGATGGAATCTGTTCGGGTACGGGATTGGCATTGTGGAGTGCTTTGGCTGCGCCCCTGGCGGGTACCGAAGTACAGTACTGCAGCGCTTGTCCGTTCCCCACGCTCCAATCCTGTGACCGCAAAGCACCGTTGACTACCAACGTACTGTACGGGTCTTTGAACAGTCAAGTGACTAAACAACAGTAAAAATGGTCCCGCATGCTTAGGCCCTTGCGTGTGCGATATCGATAGCATTTGTCTGGCGCATGACGCCGTGTACAGGATGCCTTGACGTGATTCAACGTTGATCGTGACATGATAGTCCAAGTATAACGAAGTAGCAAACACACTGTGCAGTTCTCTTAACATGCTTGTGATAATGGCGGCTCACTCCATGGCAACGACCGCAACGCACTTTTCGGTGAAGGCCAAGGATGGCAAGGCGCGATGTGGCATCCTCAAAACCAACAATGGCAGCATCGAGACACCATCTGTGTTGCTGTATACTCGGCGCGGGGGACCTTTGAATTTGACATCGCCCGATATGCTCGCCGCCGTGACACCACCGGTGCAAGGCGTCCAGCTAAATACAATGCATTTGTAAGTGGTACGTTCCAAATAATTTTCTTCAAATTTCAGTGTTTAAATAACGCATCAGCTGGTGATTTGCAGTCTTGAAAACCCAGATGCGCGCGTCCTCCGCGAGTTTGGCCGGGGCGCCCACGGCTTCCTGTGCCTGGAGGGCTTTCCCATCCTAGCAAGCAATCGTGATCCCACTATGTACGAGTATGGAACGCGGCCAAGCACTGATAAGGAGCTCCATGTATCGATCCACAGCGGTGGACAGATGGTGAGGTGCTCGTGCGCCTGTTTTTGTGCTGAGTCAGCCGTTATTGTCGAAGAAGGGGGCTGCGAGTTTGGGTGGTTGGATTGGGGAGGGGGGGAGAGGGAAATGCTTGTGCAGTGGCAGGGTGATGGAACCGATTCCTCTCAGGTCGCCATTCCTCAACAAGCTTCCGTAAACCTCAATAGAGTTTGAGCACAGGGGCGCCAGTGCCCGAACCCCCATGCCCACCGAATTCCTAGAACGATAAAGAACCCTAACAAATGTCTGTACGACACGTACGACTTGTCGTGCCTATGACACGTGAGACGACATCATCCTGCGGTCATCTGGCATTCCTTTCCTCTTCTTGCCTCCGACATACATACATACATTATTTTTTTATATTCTGATGAAACACCCCACTCCCCTTAATTGCATCGCGACTACTATGACAATTACGATGGCGCCCATCTCTCCCTCTCCCTCTCTCTCATACACACACTCTCCCTCTCTCCCTCTCTCTCTCACTCCCCTCGTCTTGTTTGAACCCCCCCGAAGGTCTCCCCCGAGCGCTTCATGGCCACGGTGGCGGCCCTGAAACCCGACCTGTACGTGTCCTTGTGCGACGAGGTGAGGTCCTTGTACGGGGAGTTTCTGTATGTTGGGTGTTGGGTTTCGGATGTGGGTTTTACGTTTCGGCCCTGTCGTGACTTTAGGTCTGTGTGTGGTTTGGGGGAGTGGCTGGCGGTGGGCGAGGAGGAGCCCTCCCGGGGCCCTAGGGGCTGCGGCGCTTCCCTTCCCAACCGCCAACCCCCAACCCCCAACCCCACTCCGCACTGTGTGTTTGTGTGTTGGGGGACCCGCTGTTCCCACGACGGGGTGTGGTTTGTGGTTGTGGCGGGGTGAGGGGCAGCGTGCGGCGGTGAAGAGGGGTAAGGGGAGGTGAACTGACAGACATTACCCCCCCCCCAAACCCGGGGGGAAGTGGGGAGGGGCAACGTTCCCCATGCCGTACCCCGCCGTACTCGCACCTCGGTCTCCCTCTTCACTCGGAAACCCCTCTGGGCCCCTTCCCTCCCCTCTCCTAATTGCCGTACAGGTCACCGCGGACGCCAAACCCAAGCGTGTCGCCACATCCACCAAACGAACCACAGCCTGGCTGGAATCATGTCTGAGGTTGCATGGCGCTTACCAGCACAACACAAACCAACAACAACAACAACAGCAACAGGGGCAGCAGCCTAACCAGGACACCTCAGATGGCCCTGCGACGGAGGAGTACGGCACCGCTGCTCAAACCCCCCACCACCGTGCCCCCCAAGCCGGGTGCTGCAGCAGCAACCACAGTAACGACAACAGCACCGGCACCGATAAAGGCGACACTAGCGGTGCCGTGAACGGCGAAACTGGTGGTGGTGATGGTGATGGTGATGGGGGTGGAGGTGGAGGTGGAGGTGGAGGTGGAGGTGGCTTGTTGGGGCCGTTGTCGGGCAGTTTGCTGTTGGCGGCATTGGGCGGTGGGGGGCTGGTGGCGGAGAGGAGCCGTGCGGCGGCGGCGGTGGCGGACATGGAGGGAGTGGGAGGTGAGCCCAACCCCCCCCAGAGCGCGGGGCGAGGTGGCGAGTGGGGGGGAGGGGAGGGCGGGGGGGGGTCCCAGCCCGGTGGTGGTGTTGTGGTGGGCTCTGACGAAGGGTTTGGCTTGGGGGTGGGTGGCTGGGTGGGTAGACGGGAGTTGCTGTATGAGTGGGGGTGTGGGGGTGTTACCGCTCTCAAGCGCCCCCAATTCCCGCCTCCCACACACATATCGACTAAGAGGCTAAGAGGCCCAGAGCCCCCCCCACACACACACACACCCGGCGCAGAGCCGGCTCGGGCTTCGCAAGTCCATCCCTTCCCCCACTCCGCAATGGCACCGCCGGCACCACTGCTCTCCTTTCTACACAATTGTCGTCGTTTCCTCTCGGTCCCGTGTGTTGGCGGTGTGTTGTCTTTTCAGAGCTCAGCTCCGGAACCCACCTGCTCTGCTGCCCACCTTTTAGTGTTCCCTCCCCCCTTTACCTTCCACCCTCCTCCCCCTTTCGGTTGATAATCTTTGCATCTGATCCCCTCTCGCCCCCCCCCGGCAAACCCCCCCTCATACACACACACACGCACGCGGAAAGGCTATGCGGTATGTGGCCTAGGTACTGGGGAGGACCCGGCCCTCCGCCCCGCCCTCATCTCCGCCTCCCTGGAGCCCCTGCCGGCAGCCGCCCTGGAGCACAAACCCGTGTTTACTCCCGGGCTGTCCTCCTCCCCCGAGGATATCCTCCTGGCCGTGGGGGAGGGAGTGGACCTGCTGGACTGTGCACTGGTGGCGCAGGTGAAGGGGGAGGTGTGAAGGGGTTTGAGGGCGGGGGGGAGGTGTGTATGTATTGCCTGTGTGTACGGCTGCGTGTGTACGGCTGCGTGTGTACGGCTGCGTGTGTACGCTTTCGCTGGCCACTTTCTATGTCGCCACACCTGTAAATCAGACGAGTGGGTTTTAATGGTTTTAGGGTTTCAATTCGCGGTGGCTTCGATTGGCCCTTAAAACCCGCCGTGACTCCCCCCACACACATACACATACGCACAGACACACCCACACCCACACCAACCTTCACACGTCGTGTCGTCACAGCCACGCCGTCCACCCTGCCTCACCACGCATCCACAAACCCTAGCTCCTCTCACATCACTCGTGCCCCGCTGCCACCCCCACTACCGCCACCCCCACCACCGTGCCGTACAGATCACCGCGGGAGGCTATGCACTGACGTTTCCGTTGCGACCTCCCCCGGTGAGAGCATTGGGGGGTGGTGTATGTATGTATGTATGTATGTATGTATGCATACGTGTGTGTGTGTGTGGTGATGGGGAAGGGCTCGCACAGTTAATCAGAGGCAACTTCAATCAGAGGCAACATGTGAAGATGTCGTACACACAGCGGGTCCATTCCCCCTGGGGGGGCGGGCCGGGCTGTATTCCCCCCCTCGATGCCGATGAGGGGTATCCTCATCCTCCTTGCCCTCGCGGTGTGTGTGTGTGTGACTCGCCACCCTGCTCAATATTGCGGCTGCGGCAGGGCGGGCCCCCATCAGCGGCTGCCGAGAACACCGCCATGGCGGAGGTGGGCACCGGCGGTGGAGGAGCGGGAGGGGGGGGAGTGGAGGACGTGCCCGCTGTGTCCACATCAGCTGCCGCTGCCGCAGCCGTGTCTGTTCCGACATCCGTACCTGCGGCAGCGGCGGCAGGGGGGGTATCCAGCGGGGCCCTGTGCGGCAGCAGCCCCGAGCGGGGTCCGAGTCCGGATGTGTCCCGGGGCGCGGATGACACCAAGATAAACCTGTGGTCCACATCGTACCGGTAGGGGAGGAGGGGGAAGGGGGGGAGTGGGGGGAAGGGAGTAGAAGGGGGAAGGGAGTTGTACGTGTCGCGATATCCACCCTGAGGGGAAGGGGAAGGCCGCGGGGTCGGTGGGGTGGTCGGGGTGGGGGAGCGGGGTGGGGGAGCGCCAGGGGGTCAATAATCCCGGTATAATACACAGCATTGTCACCCGAAGGTAAAGCCACCGCCGGCTGACATCAGGTCCATCAGGGGCTGCTGCTGTTGAGGGCGGCCAGAGAGCCGTAGCGGCCGCCCCTGTGGGGAGGCCCAGCAGCTGCTGCTGCTGCCGCTGCTCTCCCTTGGTGAACTCCATTGATTGATTTACTGACTGCCACGGAGCTGTTAGTTGGCCGTGTTGGCTGGGGCCCCCCCTCCCCCCCCTCAGAGGCCGTGTGTGTGTGTGTGCCGTATAGTCGTTGGTTTTGACGTGTGCATTGCTGTAGCTGTTGCTGCTGCTGCCGAAGACGTGTTGTACAACTACCACTAGTAGTAGTAGCACTAATAGTAGCATGATGGCATGGGGGGGGGAGTGTGGGCTGTGAGGTTGTTACGATGTCTGTGCACTCTCTCCCCCCCCCACCACCTGAGTACCCCTCCGGTTCCCTACCCGCGTCCCCCCGCCCTCCACCCCACCCCGTGCCCCCTGTGTCCCCGTGCCCCCCGCCACCGACTGACCGCCTCCGCCTCCTCCCCGACAGAGCGGACCGGGGTCCGTTGCTGCCGGGCTGCGGCTGCTTCGCGTGCCGGCGCCACAGTCGCGCTTACGTGCACCACCTGCTCAACACGCACGAGATGCTAGGGGACGTGTTGCTGGAGGCACACAACACCAGCCATGTGAACGCTTTCTGTCAGGTGCAGAGGGGGGGGGAGGAGGGGGAGGGGAAGGAAGTGATAGCAGGGGAATGGCGGGGCCGGGGTTGTTGCGTGAAGCATCAGAGCACCATAACCCCCCACCGCCACCATCGCCACCACCACCACAAACACCAGGGAGAGCGAGAAAGAAAAAAACATTATATATATACTTTAAATCATATGTATAGTGATTTAAAAGTATATAAATATATGTGATGATCATATCAATTTGTTACACTACTTTATTTGGGATGGCGGCAGGCCATCCGGGAGGCCATATCTGAGGGACGCTTCCAGGAGTACTGCAACTGGTTTCGGAGCCTGAGGGCCGTACCGCTGGTGCCGCCGCCGCGGCGTGTGGCGGCCAAGAGGAGAGCGTGCGAATCGACGTCGGGCGCCGACACGGCGGTGGCGGCGGCGGCGGCGGACTTCGAAACGGGACCAGAGGCGGGATTGTTGGAAGGTGGCAGTACGGCAGCGGTTGTGGCAACGGAGTCATCTCCCGGGGAGGATAGTGGAGTTGGGCAGTTGGAGGTGTTGGGGGAGCGGCGGGGTAAATGGATGCGGGTTTGACTGACCCAGGCGCCCGGGGCCGGCTGGTGTGTATGTGTATGTGTGTGGGGGAGGGGAGCGAGGGGGAATTACGGCGGTGGAGGTTATGTGGAGGTGAATCATATGCATATGGGGGCAGATGGGTTAGGTGCCGCAGGGGGAAGTGGGTGCCGCACCCACAGGGGGTAGATGCAGCGAGTGAGTGAGCGAGTGAGCACATGATGCGGTGGGCGGGATACGAGCCCCGCCCCGCACCCGCCCCGCATCCGCCCCGCCGTGTGTGACATACACATACACATACACACGTGTGTGGGGACGTGTGTGGCGACGTGTGTATGATGTGTGGGACAGGGGGGGGGCATATCTTCGCCCGTGGCAGCTACCCTGCGAAACCCTGCCTGCCCCGGTATTTCGGGGCACCCTCATCCAATCACCCTAGCCGACCTTCCACCATCGGAAGGATTTTTGACCCGGACAGGTCTCGATTCCGGAACCTCCGGTGGCATCAGTGTGTGCTTTACCAGTAGTGCTTGACCTCAGTACATCAGTGTGTGTTGGGGGGGGGGAGGGGCGAAGAAGGGGAAGGGGGTTACAACCGACAGACGCTGTGCCAATGAGATGTGTAGTTAACCAAGACCTAAAGAAGGCCGTGCAAACGCAGTCTCGTCGGCAACCCTAACGCCGACCCGGTCTCGTCTGTGCAGTACATAACAGTACAACCTTGGCAAATACGGCACCTTCTTCAATGACAGACAGATCGACAGACGGCAGACCGTCCGCTGAAAGGCTTTTTTGAACAATGCAAAAATTGCCAAATGTGGACCCTACCTAACTCACCCCTTTTTCTATAAGGCATGTACGGAATCGCATGACGATGTACGACAGCGTGTTGACGGAACCTTACATGAAGCAGTCGCCGCAGGGGGGGGAGGGGGCCCACACATGGGGCCAAGCAACCCGGGGATTAAACCCCCCGAAAGCAATATTCCTGGATTCAGTACCCGTCTATCTCTGGTATCGGTATCACACTCGTCTGTCTGCGGTTCGTCTTGACCTCTCTCGAGAAAGCAACCGGTATCGCCCCTTGCCTCCACACTTCACTTCACACATAGGGGTCTCATCCGGGGTTGCGAAAAGGTTTGCGGGGGGGGGGCCCGTCTTTTCTACCGGCGATTTGTGCGCCAAGTTTTTGTTGAGCCCCTGAGCCTTGGAGGGAAATGAAATTGTATTCACGAAGAAAACGAATGAGGCTGTGCGTGTATGTATGTATGTATGTATGTGTGTATGTATGTATGTATGTATGTATGTATGTACGTGTGTGTTGATGTGCAGGGGAGGCGAGGGAGCCGCTGGGTTGTTCTTGGGTTCTTGTTGTTGGTGGGTTCATATACCTCGCGTTCAGCCTCCGTTTCCCCCTCCCCTCCTCGGACTTGGTCAAGGCTCCCCTCCTCCCCCCCTTCACGGTTGGGCAGGGTGGTGGAATTCGCAGCTCCGCCCCCCCACGTCCCCCCACGTCCCCCCACGTCCAGCTGCATCCCACCTGACTTCCCGCCTACTACGGGCCATTCCAGCAGTGGTATATAAAATTATACAAAGCTCGCCCGCCAATCATATTGCAAGAACGCAGCGAGCAGAGAGGGTCGGAGGCCCGTCGTACATGGCCCCTCTGTTACAACGAACCGCTGTTCAGAACGCCTTTCGCTGAACCTGGACGCCATTGACCTTCGCATCTTCGCGGGGTCATAAGAATGATCCCCTCGTCCTGGTCCTCGTCCTGCAATCTGTCACCATACCAAAGCGGGTCTCGGAGCGGGGAGGGCCGTAGGGAGGGATGGGGGGTTGGCAGTGACCTGTTGACCGGATTCACCGACACTGTGTTTTTTGTCTTCGAGTCCAAAGCCAGCCTCCGAAACCAGCCAGTCGGAGTTGGCGACGGAGAGTTGGAGGGAACACGTAGGAAGTCCAGAAAGCTCGGCTGCTCACCCGTCCAGCAGCGAGTCCGCCATGTCCGCCCACACCCAAGGCGGATGGAGACCCGCTCGCACCCGCACTGGCCGAAGGCCCCCCTCCCGCCGCAACACCGCATTCAGCCCCGCCACCTCACGAACAGTCAGGAAGTCCACCTGGATCTCTACTGCACTACGACAAGCGGCTAGCCGCCCGCTGCAGCTACTGCCGGTTCCCGTGCCACCATCCCTGCCGCCGCCGCCACCGCCCCCCCGGCAGCCCTCGTAGTCACTGTAGTCACTGCCACTGCGGTGAAGGCTTGGTGCGCTCCGGCTCAGCGGTGCGCACTGCTCCTCCCGGGCCGTGTCCTCGTCCTCATCAGTGGAGTTGTCGGTGTGGAAAGATCCGCCGCGGTCGGAGCCGTCCGGGGAGTTCGATTCCGAGCCACTCGTCGTACTGCCTCCACCGCCACCGCCACCACCGCCGCCACGTTGGCGATTTGTCGGCTGTTGTGGCCGCAGTGGCCGTGGTGGTGGTAGTCCTGTGCGGTCCCGTAGGCCTCGTGCCGCCTCAAGTACCGCCCAGGGAGCCGAGCCGTACGGTGGCAGCGGAGGAGCGCAATTTTCCCCAGTGCAGCTCCCCCCGCCCCTGCCGCCGTCATCAAGGCAACTAGGTTCTTGCCGCCGCCGCCGCCGCCGCTGCCGTACCTCCGCCGCTTCCCGCCGTGCTGATCGCTGGCGCGCAGTGCCTCCTGCTCCACAACTCCCGCAGCCTGTGGAAGACTCGCGCATATACTTCTTGTCGTACTTGCCGCTTCGGCCTGTACGGCGCCCGCAGTTCATCTCGTCACCAGCGGCGGCCGCATCGAAGGGGTCCTGATGCGGCGCCGCCGCCGCCGCCGCCGCCGCGACCGGCCCTGTCGTACTCATCCCCGCCGCCGCCTTCAGGCACTCGGCGGCCTTCCCACACGCCACCCAGGTTCAGTTGCACGCGCTCAATGTACGGCAGGTTCTGGAGCGCCTGCAGGCCGCCACAGGCCCCCTCCGCTTAATGCCGTTTTCCCCCAGCGGCCTTCCCACAGCCCCTCCCCTGGCGCTGTAAGTACGAACATTTTTCACGCCGGAGCTGCCGTACAAGCTCTCTACCGGCGCCACGCACTACCCCGGAGGGGGGGCCCCCGCACAGCCCACAGAGCCCCGAGGGGAGCACACACACGCACCTGACCGACCCAATCAATAACCCACCGACCCAATGACCGACCCACTTTCAGCGCCTTGGCGTTGAGCTTGGAGCAGTTGGGGTGTGCCAGCAGCAGGGTGAGCCGCCGCAGGGACGTGAGCTGTCTGCGGGGTGAGGGGGGGGGTCAGACAGTGGAGGAGGGGGAGGGGGAAAGGGGGAAAGGGGGAGGAGGAGGGGGAAAGACGAACCACACACGATTGAAGCTGCTGCCAGGGAGGGGGAGGGAGGATGAAAAGGCCCCTTAATCACCTCACTGATTCTTGCGGTAGGAAAGGGACATGCGTACGGACATACATACATACATACATACATACATACATACATACATACATACTAGGGTTTGGCACTACTGGTAACGCGCGACCATTGCCCCCGGAAGATCCCGGGATCGATACCCGTTAGGGTCAAAAGTCCTTCCGATGGTGGAAGGCATTGCGCCCCTAGTTGATGGACGGTGGTGACCTGGGATAAAGTTAACCTGCGAGCCGACCAGGAATGGAGTTGGGCCGCTGTCGACCCGGCAGATTCCGTTGGATGCTGGTGGTGGGTGCGGAACCTGAGCGATCCACTGAGAAGTTGACTAGGGTGACTGGATGAGGGTACCCCGAAATACCGGGGAAGGCAGGGTTTCGCAGGGTAGCTGCCACGGGCGAAGATACACCCCCCTGTTTCACACATCATACATACATACGTACATAGACACGTTGCAGCGGTCCTTCCGCCGTTCCACCGTTCCCCACTAAACCTACCCACCGTACGGCAGTGGCCACCCTTGTGGCCACTGCCGTACGGTGGGTAGGTTGGAGGTCGTTAGTGGGGAACGGTGAAACGGCCCCCCCGCGCCCCCCCCCATCCCCCACACACGCACACGGCAACCAAGTTCCGACCATCACCATCACCATCACCACCACCATTACCACCACCATGACAGCCCCTACCAGAGAAAAGAGACACCGACGCAGCCTTCCTTCCTACCTTCCTACCTTCCTACCTGCCTTACTCACCTGCACAGAGAGCTAAAGTGTTGAGTTCCCAAGGGAGGGCCGCTGTCTCTGTGGGGCATCCGCAACGTCAGGCCCCGCAGGCCCCGCACCCCCGCCAGCAGCCGTACAACCCGGGACCATTCCCAAGGTTCCGACCGCATCACCGACAACTGCAACTCCACGTCACACACGCCACGTAAGCCTGACGTCACCGCCAGAAGATCGTCGTACAGCTGCTCCACACCGCTGCAACCGCCATCATCATCGCCGCCGCGGCGGCGGCGGCCACGGCGGCGGCCGCCTCCGCCGCAATAATCTCCTTCCGCGTGAATGTACATGTCGGCTCTCAGGTGTTGCAGTACGGGCAGGTTAGGTAGCAGGTGCGCGAGGTACGACGGCCAGGTCATGGACAACGTCAGGGAGCGGATGGAGGTGTGGGGGTGGGGGAGGTCCCAAGACCCGAACTGCCGTGTTTCTAAGCGCGTCAGACGGGGGAGGGCCTGGAAGGAGGGGGGGGTGGGGGGTGGAGGAAAGACGAACCACGAACGAGTGAAGCAGGGGTGGGGTGGGGAACGAGGAGGAGAGGACGCACCACAGGGTTTTGGCACACCTTGCAGAGCTACCAGACGTCATCTTTCTCACCCCGCGGATCCTCTTTCTCCCCTCCCCCTCCCCCTCCCCCTCCCCCTCCCCCACACAAACACGCTCTTCCGCACGCGGCAACGCAAAGGTCCTGTCAATCCCTTCGCTTTTCCCTTGTGCTTGCCGCCAATGTGCACCCTTTTCCCCCCCTTCCCTAACATTCCCTCCCTTTTTCTTAACCTGCAGTACGGCAGGCATCTGACCGCTGTCCACGCCCTCGCCGGGGAGCCCCAGCGACACCAAGCCCCGACACTGCGACACCGCCGCCGCCAACTGGACTGCCGTACAATCCGGCGCGTTCACGTCGACGTCTTCGAAGCCGCCGCCGGCGCCGGCGCCACCGCCGCCGCGAATATAATTGCGCTGCATGCCGCCAACGGCCACAGTCGTTCCTCCTGCGGCAGCTGCCGCCACCGCCGCCGTTGCGCTCAGCTGCCGCGCCGCCGCAGCTGTGGGCACATGCAGGAACAGATGCAAATGTGCAAGTCGCTTTAGGTACGGCTCGTACGGACGGCTGCAAGAAACGGATAGCACCAGTTTCGTCAGCCGCGTCAGCTCCCTCAGCCCCGTCAGCAACCCCGGTTGTACGGCAACACCACGAAGCTCCAGGGATGCCAGCTGCAGCAGCAGTGGCGGCGGCGGCGGCGGCGCCGTCACGATGGGGTGCTGCATGGGCGACTGTCGAAGTATGGGATGCTGTGCGGCAGCGGCGGCGGCGCAGCCGCCGCTGCCATTTTTGTCGGCGGCGGCGGCGGCTACTGCTGCTGCTGCTGCTAGTCCTCGGAAATCTAGAAGTAACAGCGGCAGTCGGGCGAATTGCGGATCCAGCAGCTCCGCCTCAAAGGGGTCGATACTGGGCTGGGCGTAATCGACGACGAGAGCCTGAAGCCCCGTGGCAGTGGAAGACATGCTGGCGCCGCCGCCGCCGCCGCCGCTGCAGACCTGCGCAGCGCAACAAGACACGACGCCGTCACGGCCTCCCCCACCGCCGCCCGCGGCGAGAGCCGCAGCCAGGTGCTCCAGTAGGGCCTGCGGGGCCAGCAGCGCCCGGAGGGGCGGCACCGCCGACGCGGCGCCGGTGCCGTCACCGCCGCCACGACCATGCAGGCCGCCATAACCACCGGGTCTGACGCCAGCTCCCAACTCGCAACCAGCAGCGGCACCGGCGAAGAGGATTCGCTTTAGGTTTGGAAACAGATTCGCCAGCGCTTGCCCGACGGCAGCGCCGCCGTCACCATGACTGCAGTCGCCGCGGTCCTCGTCCGTGCCGTTGTCATCGCGACGGACCTTTTGACCGGGACCAGATCTGATGTCACGGGTGAATCGGTTGTGGTGATTGATGCTTTCTTGCGATGGCAGCATGGGCATGCCTCCCAGGGCCCGATGGAAGTGCGGCTCCAGGAGCGTGAGCTCCGTCTGTGACGAGCAGCGGCCAACAAGCAGCCGCAGCAGCTCAGCAAGGGCATCTTCACACGGGAGCGGTGTCAACGGCCGCGAGTCGCAACAGAGACTGATTTGCGTAACAGATGGGTATCGATTATCAAAGCCGATTGGATTTGCAACTGACAAGGCGTTGGACCCGGAAGGGCTTTCCGTTGTCGTCAGCTGGAGCGCCCGTAAAGCCTCTTGGCTGATGCGGACATGCAGGCTACTTGCTGTCGATCGGTAGAGATCTGAAAATTGTTTGTTTACAAGCCGCAAGCTGCGTCGATCGCCTTTATCGAGGTATGGAAGTAGATGTTCCCGGAAAACAAGTCCCGGAATGCGACTAAGAAGGTCATCCTCAAGATGAGATGGCGACGTATTGTCTTGCGACCCAGAAGCCATGCAGCAACGGACTGAATCTACGGTAACCCGAGCAACTGTTCGGTTTGACACTCCTTGCCGCCTGACTTCCTAATCGTTGCAATCCCCTACAGCGATGTTAGGGTAACAAAATAAACTTCAGCAATATAAAGCAGGTAAGCATCTCTCCTCATTGTGCATAAAAACGACAGGCTGCGTTGTATGTTAGCAACGGATACAACCGTCAAGGTACATACATGCTCCATAACGTTTCGAGGCAGCAAACAGGGAGTATTTCTCAACCATCAAATCCACATCGTGCCTCAGGGAGCCATGGCAGCAACGAAACTGGAGCTCCAGAACGAATTGCGAACAGGATGGTTTATCCATCTCCTGGACGCTCTGTCCAGGAGATGGACATAATATCAAAGCAAAATGCACAGTAATCATTATGCCGATGCCGTGAAACAATTATTACAAAGCGATTCAAGCCTGTAGCCTCTCCAAAGAATCTGAAGCGAAGCTCGAACCTCACATCTCACCTCACGTGCCTGACAGCGAGCAACTAGAAAACGCAGCCCTGTAACCAAACCCATACCCCATGCTCCTTAGCCCACAACACCAAGCAACACAACGTACTGCACTGGCGCGTACATGAATAACCAAGCACACGGAAAACCAGTAAAGGTCCTCAAGAGCCTGTTGGCCCCGTACGTACGGCTGCACTGATGGTGAGGCTGACAAAGGCGACCTGGCGGCAGCAGCTGCAACTGCCTTTACCACCATCACTACCACCACCACCACCGCGGCACGGGAGGTCATTTCTGTGGCGCTGTAATTGTTACATTCCCTGTGATTCTCTTTTGTTAACCCCAACCAAGTAGCCAGTTCCTTTCTCATTCATCTCCAATCCTCACCACCACCACCCCTTCACCCCCTCTTGTGCCCTCTCACGCCTCTGCTTCTAGGTACTCCTAGAGCCGGCGAGGCCTCCACTCCCCCTTAAGCTGCCCTGTCAAGATATCTCCAACCCAACACAAACACACACGTACACACAAACATACACACTCACGTACACGCATACACACACGTACACGCATACACACACACGCGCGCACGAGGTTACCCTCCAGTAACCCCTCCACACCCCTCCGCGCCAAACCGTGTGCATATTTTCACAAGCCCCACTACCCCCGCATGGTTACATCCAACCCAA